ATGTATCCATTCTATTGCAAGAAAGCCTTTAAAGGTATACAGGAGTGCCTAATGCAATAAGGTGGGTACAGTAAGAATCACAGTAACTAAAAAGGAAGTACAAACACTATCAAAATTCACAGACAAAATGGCTATGCAGACAGAAAATAAAAATCAGTCTACAGCCAACGAGGAGTATTAACAGTAGAAGCAGCAAATCAACAGATTCAAAAAACAGTACACAAAAATAAAATTTGATTCTATCTACAAACAAAAGAGTGAAAATTAAAGTTAAGTTTTGAAAAAGCATTCATCATACCATCTGTTAAAGTACAATGACAAAGACAGGGGAAAACAAATAGCTGTAAATTTCCTAACTTGAAATTATGAAAATATTATTAAACATCATCATATCCTCAAAAACAACAAAAACTTAGGGAAATAGAACATCATATTTTTCCTATCACTTAAAAATATCACTCATCATCCCTCTTTGAAATGAAAATTCACGAGGGTTTCTCCGTTGTGTAACAGGTGTCGAGGATGTGGGACGACGGCAGCAGGGCTGAGGAGGCTGCAGGGCGAGGACTCGCAGAACCGGGTGCAGGACGGTGGTGCCGGCCGGAGCGCAGCCGCGCTGTGCAGTAAAAGAGAAGAGGGGGAGCAGAGACAGCCCAGGCACAGGCGCGTCGTGTACGCGTGCGACTCACAGGTTCTCCTTCCCTTGCTGAGCAGAAGGAGGCTGAGTGAGATGAGATGTGGGAAAGGGACTGTGCTGACGCTGTTCTTGTTCTTGAGCTTCAGTACCAGTGACAGCAGTGCTGAGAGCTGCCGGCCCCTCCTCTGTGGTCCGGGTCTCTCACACTCTTCCCCTGGCTCTCAGCTTGCAAAAGCACCCGTGGGCGCTGGTCACTTTCCTCCCCTGGATCTCTGGCAAGCAACCCATGGGCAGCACTTCTGGTCCTGCTGGGTGCTCTGCCTCGTGGCTCAGGACAGCAGCTGCTTCCTCCTCAGCCCAGAGCCGGAGCCTGGCAGCTCTCAGCAGTGCAGTCTTGGCCTCAGCACTGGTGCAAGGCCCCCTTTGTAGCCCTGCGCCTTAAATTCCATTCCTGAAAATCTGTGTTGGTCTTAAGTTCACAGGCCCAAATTCTGTATTTGCTGAAGTCAGCTTTATCACTTGAGTAACTACTAGAAATCTGACATCATATAATTCTCAGGACCTGTAATTTTCTCACCCAATAGAAAAATATTTCCTCCAAATCTCTCTGAACTATATAAGATGAAAGCACAGCAATACTTAAAATAAGAAATTGTATTAGTACATGTTTTTTGATTTGTTAGAAGTCCACCCGATCTGAATAAAAATAATTTCCCTAATGAAAAATGTTCACATTTCAATCTTTGGAAATCCCATAAAGTTTTATGACAAAAAGAAAATATATGATTTCCTTTCATTTAAAGGATCACTTGCTTACTATCTTCATGACCAACTATGAGTCATCTGAGTGTTATAGACATCTTAACAGGAAATAAATATATTACTAAAAATGAAATAATACAAAAGGTTAGAATATTAAATCACGGATGAAATATGTCTTAAAATGGAATGCAAAGGGGGCTGGGGATTTAGCTCAGCGGCAAAGTGCCTGCCTGGCAAGCGCAAGGTCATGAGTTCGGTTCCCGGTACCAGAAAAAAAAAAAAAAAAAAAAAAAAAAAAAATGGAATGCAAAGTATAACTCCTGGCTTGGTGAGAGATGCCATTCAGAAGAAGTTCTGAAATTTAATTACATTAAAATGATACTTGAAAATAATTTCCTTATCATACAAGTGTTTTCATATCTAATATATTTGCTCTATCATTGACATATCTATCCAGTTTGGATTGGATGAATCTCCTTTTCTTTTTGAAAAATTAGAGGACAGAATTATATATCAGTAATGTGTACCCCGTAGGTTGATATATTTTAGGCTGTTCTTTAGAAAATCACCCCTAAGGGCCAGAGATATAGCTCAGTGCCATAAGCACTTGCCTCTCAAGCACAAGGTCCTGAATTCGATTTCTGGTACCAAAAAAAAAAAAGAAAGAAAGAAAGAAAGAAAGAAAACCACCTCTAATGTTTTGTAGACCACTGCATATAGAACTTAGAGGACAACGGGACTAATTAAGACACTATCCTAGATCAAGTGCCTCAAAATGAAACACATCTAAATACTAAGACCACCCCAGCCCTAGTAAGTTTAACTAAGAGTTGTACTGCAATGATCATGTGTGCATAGATTATGTACTTGAATTTCATCCTTGACAGATGAAGAAATGGAAAACTAGAGACACTTATTACTAAGTATGAAAAATTAATGTAAGTCTATTTTAGTATGGAAAAATCCTATGATTCCAAGATAACCCAAGTTATTCTTTTGTCTTTAAAATATTTGTAGGACTGAATGATTTTTCTGTAGGTACTTGGAAAGATTTGTCCTGGAGTGATGTAAAATCAGTGTCATAGTCAAGGATGGCCTTGACAAAGATCAAGTACAGCACTGGCTAAATTTGAGGATTGAAACTTATAGTAATTTTAAAAATATATAGTCACTTGCAACTGATTTTAACTGTTTTCCAGGTCTTAGAACTAAAGAGATTTCAGCATTGGGAAAAAAAATTAGCTTGGCAAATGGTAGGACTGGATTTTTTCAGTAGGCCAATATGGGAACCCACAGCATCTCAAGTGAATTTCACATTTCTGGGCAAGCTGTTTTCAATGGCTTCATGATATGATACATAGATGTCAGTCAATAACCATTCCCAGCCATGTCAGCAAGCCCCATGAAAAATGCCATGACATCAGAGATGCAGGACCATGCACGGAATTTTTCACTGGATTTCACCTAACGGAGGCAGAAATGGTTAACAGCAAGCAGTGTTATCATCTGACCTGCCAAGTAAAAGGGTAATACCTATAACCCATTGAGGGTACCACATATTGGGGACTGGATGGTGCTACCAACAAGTGTAAAATTAATTACTGTGGGTCTGATCCAACATGTGTGAAGCAATGATTACTTTCTAGTATACTCATGTCCTTTCACGAAAGAGCTTATTCCTAACAGAAACAGTATTTGGAATTTAGTCAATGCTTTAATCAAATTTCAGATGTTCTGTATAATATAATATAATCAGGAACATAAAGCACAACAGAATTAATATCTAGATAATGCTAAGCCTTTCTGTTCTCTACCACTTCCATTTAATATTTATGGGAATGTGTTTTTTACTCTAATAAATTTCTAAATTTATACATTCACTACATATTTGATCACATTTTTATACCTAAAGCTGAAAGTCCAATAAATTGAAGAAATTAGAAATGTGTCTGAAAAGAAAAGAATTCTTGTAGCTTACACATGAAATTAAATCCCCAATTACCTACATGTAGCAGAGCTGAGTCACAGTTGCATTAGCAGACTACGCTGCCTCCAGGACCCAACTTTTAAAATAGCCCACACAATGAGGGGTATTTGCCTGTAGTTTCGAGTTTCACTTCAGGTTTGCCCTGAAGTGAAAACTTCACTTTACTATATGTCTTTTATGATGTGTTCTGATTGGCTTACAAGAAAACTCATTAGTCTTCAATTTGTCTTCAGCTGTCTAGATTAAATTGTTTGCTATTTAAAGAGGGCAATTTTTCACAGCACTGGAATCATCCCTTCTATTTTCTTTGGTAGCATCATCAATATATTTGGTTGTTCACCACAGTGAGCTAACACTGTGATGTATCATGGTTGGAAATAAAATGCCCCCGTCTCACATCCTCAGAGGTGGGTCTGTGGGAAGCACATTGGATCACTTGGGTGCTGCACCATCAGTGGATGGATCCACTGATGATTTCATAGCTGAAAGTGTCGTTAGAAGGCAGGATCTGGGCTGGGGATTTAGCTTAGCAACACAGTACCTGCTTGGCAAGCGCAAGGTAGTGAGTTCAATTCCCAGTACTGGAAAAAAAAAAAAAAAAAGAAAAAGAAAAAACCAAGAAGGCGGGGTCTGAAGGCTGGGGTTACTGGAGGTGTGACCGCAGGGTGTGTTTTTCTCCCTGGATGTTTCCTGTCTCTCTGCTTCTAGGTTGTAATGGATGAGAAATTTTCCTCCTCCAAGTCTGTGTTACAAAAACACTGAGTTCATGAGACTCCCACAGTTCTGTAAGTTGTTGTATCCCTAATGCACCACTACGTGGAAAACTGACATGATAAAAAAAGCACACACACTTCATCTTAGGAATTCAGGGGAAGAAGTTAGAGGGTCCATAGAACAATAGGCGCCAAAGGACATGTGAAGTATTTATCTAGCTCTCCTGGTTCCCATTTCTGAAGTGACATCTTCCCCATGAGCCACTCTCTGAAAATATTCTGCTTTATTTCTGATCTTGCATAGCTGTGGCCTCACAACTTCAAACTTCCTGAAGAAGGCTTGAAGTAGGGTTAATAGCATGGACAGCACTAACCAAGCCTGCTAAGGAGAGCAAAGGCCAGGACTCCGAGTTAGAAAACAGAATTGATTATGTCCTAGCTGGGCATTTTAGCCATGTTGTGTCAGTGTCTAGAGAAACCAAACCACTTTAAAGGATTGAGAAATTTTATTGCCTTCATTTTTCATTTTATATTGTGGCCATCTCATACTCCGAAGTTTTCCTTAGTTGCTCCCATGTCCAAAGGTCATTCCCATAGAACACTGTAACAAACAGAACAAAGGTATGTGCAGAAACATGCGGAGAGCAGGACACAACTAATTACACTACAGGAGCAGATGGACTTTGTCCTGTGGGTCACTAGGAGAAACATAGTCTGTGCAACACATCTGATCCAGCCGAGCCTTGCCTGAGACCTGGGTCACTGAACCTTTCCTGAGTGACAGAAAGGAGCCAGCCCTGCAGCTGTGCCTAACACAGCTCAACACCTGTTGATTTGCATGTCCCAGAGCACAGCCCAGGCCCTGAGGACTTCTTCATAGGCTGTCACACCTTGTGCAGGAGTCAGACCCAGTCAGGACACAGCATGGACATGAGGGTCCCCGCTCAGCTCCTGGGGCTCCTGCTGCTCTGCCTCCCAGGGAAGGAAGGGCAGCCCTGGGAATTTACTCACCACAGTTTATCCATTATTTCCTGCCTCTTCAGAGAAGTTATCTTAAACTCTGATTGACTATGTTTATGTTTCCCGTGTCAGGAGTGCGATGTGACATCCAGGTGACCCAGCCTCCATCCTCGCTGGCTGCCTCTGTAGGAGACACAGTCACCATCAGTTGCAGGGCCAGTCAGGGTGTTAGCAGTTACGTAAACTGGTACCAGCAGAAACCAGGGAAAGCTCCTACTCTCCTGATCTATAACGCTAAGAATTTGCACTCTGGGGTCCCGTCGAGGTTCAGCGGCAGTGGGTCTGGGACAGATCTCACTCTCACCATCAGGAACCTGCAGCCTGAAGACTTTGCAACTTATTACTGTATGCAGCATAATAGTTCCCCTCCTACAGTGATTCAAGCCATAACAAAAACCTCCTAAAGAAGCAGAAGTGTGAGGCTGGGCTGCCCAGCTGCTCCTCCTGGTGCCCCCACCTGTTGAAAACCTTTCCTAGATGCAGCCAGGCCTTGAATGTCACTGGAGGATTTGGAATAAGATACCAGACATTTTCCTCTGAAACCTTATGGTCTTTCTCCTTTACACTTCTATCAAACTATGTATTAATGTCAGTTCTATCAGACCAGGTCTTTCTCAATACAAAGGAAAGATGATTGTATCAGGACTTTGTGTTGTGGCATCATTTGGAACTCATTGAATGAAGAAGACTTTCAACTTAGTCCAAGCAGGAACTGTTTTAATGTGGAGAAATATAACCTGCTCAGCACTTCTCACTCTCCTGAGGTAAGGAAAGAGGTGAGTACTGTAGATAGGGTCTTCTCTGGTGCTTCCTGGAGTGCATAGCACCAGCTAATGGGCCCTGGAGCCAAAGAATTCTCTGTCCTGCCTGCAGAGAGAGCCAGGGGTGGAATTCTGATTATATCCCTTGCAAAATCACCTCTCTGTAAGGTTACATCTGCCTGCTAATTTTCATAAGGCCTAAGTTCTCTTTTTTGTTTTAAATCTCAGAGGATTATTGTTACCTAGTCACCTGTACAGCAAAGAATAGATGGACATCTGTCTGAGAAATTTATTTTCTGAAGTGATAGTGAAAATGTTGGTAGGGGACAGTCCCGGATGTCAGGATGGCCCCGTGTCTCAGATATTTTCTAGTTATGTAGAGGGCCTCCAAATATCCTGAAATTTATTTCTACTTATTAGCTGTGAATATGGAGTCATAGCACACAATTTTATCACTTCATAGACTAAACTGTAAGTCAGAGGGGTGGACTAGAAGTATGTGGGAATTAATACATGAAGTTACAATCTGCATACACTTGAGAAACCTTCCTTGACTAAACTAAACAGAAGCAACAAAACAGAATAAAACAATTCTAAAAGAACAAAAAGTACTTAAATGATATAAACATTTTTAAAAATTGGCTTTCTTAGTTTATATGATTTTTCCCAAATACACGTGTTTTGCTGCTGAAAAAATACCCACTTCCTGGGAGCATCACAGTGTCGCTCAAAACTCCTTATGAATGAAGAAGCGCGAACCCTCCTCACAGTGCAGAAGGATGTCAGAGACCCAAAGAAGATTCAAGATGCAGTGCTGCAGTGGATATTTAATTTAGTTAAAGAGATTTTTGCCTCAATGGGGACATTTAAGAAAATTTCTTTTTGAAGCTACTTGCTAAAATACACAGAGTTTTCTTTTACTCTCAACGTAAAATTGTATTTGGAAATATATATATATATATATATATATGACAAATGCTGGAAAACCTAATTTTTTCATAGTGTTATCAAATTCCTTTGTAACTAACTATAGTAAAAGATTTTAGATTTTAGAAAAAAAGATTATTATTTTATCAATAATAATCAAATGGGAAGAATACATCAAAATATAATGAAGGTATGTTAAAGGATATTAGAGATAAACCTTCCAGAGTAGCTTAGTGTGGGGATTTTCCTCACTCCTCATTTGTCAGAGAGGCTGTGTCCCGGGTGTCTCAGCCCTTTGGCACTGAGTGTAGCTCAAACTCAATTTATAGGATGAAAATCAGCTCAATGTCCCAGAAAGATCCAACAAGGTCTACCCTGCCTGGATCCTCCAGATGACCCTTGATATGAACATCCATGAATAGGAAAATAAATGCCTAATTTTTTTTGCAGGGCTTAGTACAAACAACTATTGTGAAAAAGCTGACTCATATAGTATATACCTATCTACATATACAGATATATTGATTTATCAATCTAATCACTTATAACTCTTTTTTATTTTAGAAAATATACCTTTATTTTTAATTACAACACGGACCCACCAACACACACTTCTTTTTAAGTTTTGTCATCATGGGAATCTAGCCCAGGGCCTTCAGACAGTTATAAGGTGGCTTATAACTCTATACTTAAAAATTTATCAGAAAGTGATATATATAGAGAGCAAAACTTATCTACATATAAAATAAATATTCCAATAAAAAGAGCAATATTAATTTCACTTGTGGAAAATTTAACACATTGGGTTCATACTCGCATGTTTAGTAGTAATAAAAAACATAATCATAATACACTTAATACATGGAATAGCCATCATAAATTGTTAAGTCTACCTTTCATAAATAAAAAATTATGGACAGACAGGGTGGCACACACCTATAATCTCACCACCCTGGGAGGCTGAAGTAAAATCACAAATTTAGCCCATTCAGGGAAACCAAGCCAGAGACACTTACTAAAAATAAAAATAAGGTCTCGATGTAGTCTAGTATGAAGGCATTGAGTTCATTACCTAGTATCACAAAACTGAAAGAGGTTTTTAACTATATGTATACATTTACATCTATCTATATATAATTCTTAAAAGAGTGTACATAATTTTGATTAATCAATGGGTACAGTTGGATAATCAAACTTTATGTTGCAAGTAATATTTATAAGTATGCATATGTATTGCACATTTATAAAATTTTCCTTACCTAGATATATAATACATCTGTTTATTCAGGCTCAGTGTTGATGTCCATTGATTTCCAGATACATAATTTAGGTCCATACATGATTAATGTTCATTAATGTCCATTAACATCCAAGTATAGAATTTGCTATCTGAAATTTTTCTTGTGATCCTTGTTTGTAAATCCCTTACGAAATGCTGCACTCACCTGAAAACATTGTAATACATCAGTAGATGTCTATAGAGTCAAGATGGAGATAATTAGCTTCATATAAAAGTTAAGGCATTTCAGTTTGTGAAAATTCCTAGGATGTAAGCCTTTGATTTACTTTTGTCCAAAACAAAGTCTTCTCATTTTTCTTTGTGACCAAAGATCTAGTAGCTGTTTTTATACAGAAAGCAGTATAAAATGAAGGTATTAATAAGATCCACCAAACTATCTGAATGGCTAGAGAATTAAATAATGGATGAAACAACATGTCTCAAAGGGCATGTGGAGGATCACACTTGTCCTGGTAAGGAAATGCATATTAGACTCTTACAGAGAGAAAGATTGAGGTTCAGTTTTCTCAAAATCATATTTTGAAACTGCTTTTTAATTCTAAAAACATTATTCTAGAATCTAATCCCTTGTTTTATCAGGACGTATCTAAGATTTGGATGGAGTGAATTTTCTGGTCTTTTAGCAAGTCAGAGGATGGGAATAAATGGTACAGCTGTGTGATTACTAAGTTACTATATTATAAAGGTTTTTTTTTTATCTGTCATTTCTAAACATAATTACAAAATGGACTTCAAAACTTGTAGACATTAACACCAATTGACATGTTATCCTTGGGATTGAGAGTGACCTCCATTGGGTTAAGCAAAGTTCTATGTCCACCTGCATCTTACTGGTTTAAAATGCACGCAAGCTGAAGTGATTATATGCATTTCAATAATTATCTCAGTTTCCTCCTTCTGTAGAGAAGAAAGCAACACAGAGACACAGAGTTTCTTCCTACTAACTATGAAGAATGAACAATCCAGATATTTAATATGGAGGGGAAAAAAGCTGTTCAGTTCCAATTCCCGGGATTTAAGGATAAAGTTCAATAAAATGATTATTCAGCAAAATAATATTTGTGTTAATGTCAAATAAAAATACAAGTGAAAAATGAAGACCATATTTGCTTCATTGAGGAGTAATAAAGAACCACATCTCTGATCTGGATTCCATCACAATAGACAGAATAGGCTTATACTTACAATAATGAATATCAAAAAGTATTAAAATATCCATGGAATTAAATCCTGGCAGCAAAGATAAGCAAAACAGCAGAAAATACAATACATCCTGCAAATGAATGAATCTGGTTGTAGAAGATCAAAGGATGGAGAGATGATAGCAGCCCAGGAACTTGGGATTTATTTTTCACCTCTCTGATGTCAGATTAAGCTGTGAAGGTGAAATCATGCTTTGCTCCTATGAGAAACTTTGTTCTCTGCCACTTCAAAACTGCTTCTGCACCTCACTACTGCACATAGCACGATTTCCATGTTTCTCCCACACGTTACCCCCAGCACCTCCAAAGCCAGGTAATGCATGTTGATGGACTGATGTGGAAACCCACTGTCAGCTGAAGGTCAGAGCAAAGGCCATGAGTTCCCAGGCTGGGCTCCTGGGTTCCTTCCTTCTCTACATTTCTGGTAAGGGAAACATTTCCTTTAATTCATTGATTTAAGTCTTCAGAATCTCCACCAAATATTACATATTCATAAGAAATGGATTTTTTTGTTTTCTTCAAATAGGATGCATAGAACTTATTGTCCATATTTTGTCCTGTAGCAAATTCCCTGGCAGAGACAATACTTACACAGTCTCCACCGCTCCTGTCAGTGGCTGCAGGAGACAAAGCCACCATGGGCTGCAAGGCCAGCACCGACATGAATGATACGAACTGGCATCCACAGAAACCAGGAGAGGCTCCTAAGCTCCTTATTAGAGGAGCTACAACTCTCATCTCTGGGATCCCTTCCTGGTTCAGCGGCAGTGGCTATAGACCAGATTTTACCGTGAAGTGTGAGGATTCTGCATACTATTTCTGTCAGCAGGATGCTAATTGGCCCTCACAGTGAGATACACTGACAGAAAACCCTACACATCTCTCAGGGGGATGCTGCAGCTGCTTGTGAAGCTCAGTTGAGGAACCGGGTCATGTTTTTGTGTTTCTGAGTTCCTTCGTGCACGTGCGTGGTCACTTTCACTTTCTGTTTCTGTACTTTCCAGCCCATATTCCCCTTGCTGTTTTTCTCACAATCGATACTGTGGAGACTACAGCAGCCTTCAGTGCAGGGTTCACCTTACCAATGTCCGTCTCCAGCTGGAAGCAAAATCACAGGGCCAGGTCTTCATCTGTTATCACAGATGTCATTTCTCGCTTAAAGAAGAACAAAATAGTGACCAGAATACACCCAGGTTAGGGTTACAAATACTAGA